TGTGTGTGTGTGTGTGTGTGTGGAGGAGATTCACACTCACTCCTCCAGATCCAGAGCTTCATGAGCCGCCGTGATCCGAGCCTGAGGATTCCTCTCTCTCCAGGCCTTCTGCATTACTGTCAACACACACACACACACACGCACACGTGCACGCACGCACACACAAACAAACAAACAAACAAACAAACACAAAAACACACACACACACACAAATAAAAACACAGATAGATCTGAGATGCTGTGGTCACAGATTAATCTGGTGATGATGATGATGATGATGATGGTCTTACTGGCGTCTGCAGGCCGCAGGTGATCAGAGTCACAGGTGAAGAAGGTCTGATGGTCTTGTGCTGAAAGATTCATGTCATAGTAGGTGAGCGGCTCTCGTCCCGTCACCCATGTGTATCTGCAGAACACACACACACACACACACACACCTAAATATAGGGAAACACCACAGAAGAACACTACACAAACAAACTGCCCATGTTTGATCAGCTGTTTCCTCAGTGAATTGTGTGTGTTTTCTTCTCGTTTAACACAGATCAGCAGCTCAGCCGGTTCATCTCCACACAGACACAGACACAAACACTCTCTCACCGGTTATATTCAGCTCCTCTGAAGAGATTGAGCGGATTCCTCCACACCTTACACTCTGAACACACAAACACAGTCAGTCAAACAGTGAATCAATGCATGACCAATCCTCTGTGTGTGTGTGTGTGTGTGTGTGTGTGAGAGAGACGAGTGAGGAGAGTACACACACCTGACACACTCTGCCGGCTGGAGTCTGCGTCTCCATTACTGCTGCTGGAGCTGCTGCTGGCTGTGCTGTTGTCCACACCGCCCAGCAGGGGGCGCAGGTGACTGACCGACACCTGCTCGATGAACGACGTCCCGTACTTGCGGAAGTACCACCACTCGAAGATCTGCGCGCGCACACACACACACATGCACACACACACACGCACCATCTTCATCTTCATCTTCATCATCGTCGTTGTCGTCTTTATCAGCAGCAACACTCATCATTACTGGATTCTGATTGGTCAGCCATGACATTCTAACATGTTATTTGCATATATTAACCGCTGACACTAATATCATCCTGACCACCTTTACATCCACACCTCTATGTACATGCTTGTCTGCCAGGCTTTGGCACCACCTTCTGGACAATATGGAGGTCAGTGTATGCTCCATTCAGCCAGCTTCACTTCTGTCAGCTCTGCCTTCACTCACAGAATTAATCAACTATTACAGCTAAGAGGGATGTTTGGGGGTGTTCTCTATATTTTGATGGCAGCAGCCGTGTAATAAGCGTGATAAAGTTAATTTAGGCGGTTGTTCTCACAGAATAAAGCCTTCAGTCTTCAACAGCTGCTGATCAACTTGCTGATAGGCTTTATTCTGCGATAACAACCTGCTGAATGTGCTTTATCCCTTACTTAAACACCCCGTGATTATATTATTTTAGACGTCCGCCTCAGTATGTTAATCTTAAGGACACTTATACAGAAGATATAACCCTGATGTAACCCTCCACAGTCTGCATCACGGATTGTTTTAGTTGTCTCCTCAAACTTTGACCAATCAAATGCTCGCTTGTATCTGGCAGGCCCCGCCCCCTTCTCATTGGATGCATTTGAGCTCAACCACTCTCACCAGCAGAGCTGTGAGAAAAACAAATGCTATTGGCTGATTTTTAAAAAGGGGAGGAGCTACTATATGCTAAACTCTTCATGTTTCAGTTGAGATTTCAACAAACATCCAATAAAAACACTCATTTCAGAGCACTTTTAATCGATTTAGCAGATCCGGCCAATAACACAGCCCTACTAAAGACACCATATGTATGATTCCTTTAAAATATCCAAAAGCCACTAGAACAGTGAAAACCCACGCCAACACGGGGAGAACATGCAAACTCCACACAGAAACACCAACTGACCCAGCCGAGACTCAAAGCAGAGACCTTCTTGCTGTGAGGCCACAGTGA